CCCCCCTTGATTCCTGCTTTAGCTAAAGGTAAAAGCCAACTGCCTAGCAGTGGCATTTCTATTTAGGCAGCAGTGAGGGAATCACTTAATGGCTCATAATAATTTACTTTTCTAAACTCATAATTCCACAGGTGTTAAGAAGTTCAACCCAGTTTCCTATTAAATAGTCTTTAATGGTTCCACTGTTGCAGCTATCCTTATTTCTGCAAGGCTGCTATCTGTTAACTGCTTCTAGTAATGTAGCTCCCATTTTACAGCCCTGCAAACTGTTTTTTAACTCAAGCTAAAAACATTAACTTAGGTGTGGAAACATTTGCTCAGGTATGAACATCACTTTCAATGAAGCTTTGGAAGCACTGTCCAGATGCTCAAGAAGGCTTGATTTTGTTTTATGAATCTGAAAGAGAGGCATACATTTCTATACTGACTCCAGGACTAATGTAACAACAATTTTGGATTATTTTTGCCTAGTTTGTTGTGTTACATATATATGATATAGCAAATGAATGCACATTCCAATAACATTTCTTGTTTCAATCTTAAATGAAATAATATAGGTCTAGGCCCCCACTTATTAGTGAAGCTTCTAGTTTCTTTTTAACTGGACAAAAATCTGTGTTGTGTTATATGTGATGATGCACCGCACCATCTGTACTCCCCTTTTCAAAATCCTAGATCTGCCCATGCAAGTAGCATGTTCTTGATGTGGTAGAGGAAAGGCAACAAGTGGAGGGGTACAAAGAAAAGAGAAAATCAGTTCAGAGTGATGAGTCATGGAATGGCCTTTGCAACAGAATTTGGAAGAGAAAGAACCTGAACAAGATTGTAGTCGTCAAGATCAAAATGGAGACTCTTGCATTTGTCAGCATCCAAGGGGAATTTTAGCATAACTGAGAAGAAAGGCTAGAGCTTAGCAATGTTAGACAAGTGGAAGTTTCAGGATTTAACTGTGACCTGAATGTGTGAATCAAGACAGAGGATCAAATCAAAGATTTCTTAATTCTTTCTTTCTCCTTTGCTTTTGATTTCTGTTGCACATACGCTGTTGAAGCACAACTGGATAACTGAATCAACCAATGGTAAAAATGCTTGGAAAAGAGCTCCATCTGGTGCTGAAAGAAGAGCATAGAACTGACTCCCATTTAATAGTCTTCTATCTAAATAGTAAGCAGGCCCAACCTGGCTCAGATTGTATGGTTAAACAAGATCAGGTAGGTCAGCGTGATATGACAGAGAAATATCTTAGCTGCTGGTTTTTATATCCATTACTTAAATCTAACCTTCCTGGTCTTGTTTTAATAGACAAAAAGGATGTGGGTTTTCAATTGTGTTAGCTGAACTCTGTTAGCTTAATACTATTTACAAATCTCATCAAGACACTGGCTAACATCTGAAGTTGGCTATAAAACTGCCAACTAACAGTCTCAGCCTGTACCCTGATAGGTTTTTCAAGTCACATTAAGCAAACTCAACTGAGTTAAGAGAGAAAAACATGTATTTTTGCCCATCAAAACAGGACCTTACATGCTCCATAGTTTGCATCTGTACAGCATTGCTAATTTTAAAAAATACACTAAAATACTTGATTGGCATAATGTTATCAAAGTATAAAACACACCCTTTTGGTGACCATCAGAGTTAGGTGCAATTTGCTCATGATAAGATTAATGCTTTCCTCTTGCCATTGCCATTCATTCCCAATTAAGTGGCAGAGGCTATAGCTCTCTCTCATCTTTTTTAGTTTCTTCTACAGTTATGCACAGTTTTGAATACCTTTGGCCATTTGCAAAACTACAAGGAAAGTGTGTTTAGGTATTCTTATATTTTGGGTAACAGGGTAGAAATTGTTTCTGCACCTCGGACACTCTTGTTCCACATCAGCTATGTAGTCATTTCTCTCTTGATTTCTACTTCCTGGTTCCAACCTATCATGCAGCCCTTGATGGCTTGCCAAAACTCAGTAAGCAGCCCTCTGCCTGAAATAATTGTTCACCCTTGAATTAGAGGCATGGAGGGCTCACCGCAATCAGCCCGCAAAAATGGCAGCTGGCTCTGCGATCTCCCAGCAAAATTGGCCAGTCGCCAACTCGTGTTGGGTAGACAAAGTTATAACAGTAACAAAATTACAGTACAGCCAATATGATTACTACCTAGAGATTGGCTAAACCTTGAGTGAACTAGAATCTTATTAAAACATTTTTAAAGTAAATATTTCAAATGATTTCTTTTAAAGAAAAGATTTAATTATATTATCTTTTTTATCATTCACATATTCAAATATGTGTATATGACTGCAATATGTATTCAACTAGATATTTATGACTAGGATTAATAAAATAAATGTAATTTCCTCTTGCATTCATTTACTTGTATTAGCCTCTTAAACCAGATTGTATAGGGTTGGACACTGCAGCCATCAGACCCTAAGTGGCCAAATAACCATGTAAGAACCACTAATTTATATTCCACAGTCAATACACTGAATCAACACATATCCAGTGCCTGCTTATACAAAATGACAGCCCATTGTCTTCACTAAGCACTGGATGGAAGTAGGCCTGTGCAGTTCATTAGAAGTTGGGAGCCTAAGGACTTTAGAAGGAGATAGGATATGAATAAGAAGAACATCGATATTCTGAAATAAGTCATTCAGGAATGCTTATTCCATTCCTAAAGAGCTATTTTGGAATAACAAACTCCAGGACTGGTCTGAGACAGACTAACCTGAATAACTATGTCTCTGCACACTGGTCACAGCTAGCAATAATGCACGTTGTGTGCATGAGAAAAGAAAGAAGTGTTGAGATACAAGACTGCCGAAAGCTGAAAATAAAATCTAAGGCCATTAAGTGTATCAGGCCAGCAGGGGTATAGAAAGTAGAAACTATGCCAACCCTACGGCCCCAAAAACTGGCACAAGAAGCAAGGGGGGAGTTCCTATCTTTATAAAGAGAATCATAGGGGTTAGGGTCACAAGCCAACAGGCTAAAGGGAGGGAACAGGTAAAAGGTAAAGAACCATCAACACTGGGGTAACATACACTCAGCACCTTAATTTCCCCACCACACCTTTAGTCCCTAGAGTGTTCAAACAGCAGCCCACAAGTCTGAGTCCAGCTCCTTCAGTTTGAAGTCCTGGCTGACCAAGCTAGTGAGAGCTCCTACTCTGCATCCCCCTGTGCAAGGTTGTCTAGGTCCCACATGCACACTGCTCCCTCTTCCCTTTACTCCAGCCTCAAGCTTCCTCTTCCTCTTTTTCCCTTGCCCCCAGCCCTAAGGGTTTCTGGGAGCTGCAGTCCAAAGGAACAGACATCACAGCTCTGCAGACTGCTCCCTGATTCCACCTGTTGTTACACACATTACATTATCGCATTCAAGTGTTTTTATTGAAAATTGTCTCCCTGCGATCAGTATGGCCAACCAGAAGCATTAAAAAAAACCAGAACAAAATCACTGAATCATAGAAAGTTAGGGTTGGAAGGGACCTCAGGAAGTCATCTACTCCAATCCTCTGCTCAGAGCAGGGCCATCCCTAACTCGATCATCTCAGCCAAGGCTTTGTCTAGCTGGGTCTTAAAAACCTCCAAGGATGGAGACTGCACCACCCCTCTGGGTAACCTGTTGCAGTGTTTTACCACCCTCCTAGTGAGAAAGTTCTTCCTAATAACTGACCTAAACCTCCCTTGCTGCAACTTGAGACGGTTGCTCCTTGTTCTGCCACCTGCCACCACTGAGAACAGTCTCCATCCTCTTTTGAACCCCCTTCAGGTAGTTGAAGGCTGCTGTTAAATTTCCTCTCAGTCTTCTCTTCTCTAGACTAAATAAGCCCAGCCTCTCCTCAGAAGTCATGTTCCCCAGCCCCCAAGCCATTTTGTTGCCCCTGGCTGGACTCGCCCCAATTTGTCCACATCCTTTCTGTAGGGGGGCCCAAAACCAAACACATTACTCCAGATGTGGCCTCACCAGTGCTGAATAGAGGGGAATAATCACTTCCCTCGACCTACTGGCAACACACCTACCAACGCAACCCAGTGTGCCGCTGACCTTGGCACCAAGGGCACACTGCTGGCTCATATTCAGCTTATTGTCCACTGTAACCCCCAGGTCCTTTTCTACAGAGCTGCTGATTAGCCTGTCAGCCCCCAGCCTGTACTGGGGGCTGAAAACCATACATCCACCCGTCCCCCAAATGATTGAATTAGAAGTTGTGAATAAATAAAAAAAATAAATCCTTGTTTCTTTTTATTTGCCCTCTGGTACTGGAGCAGCTTGTGTTTTTCAGTCTTCCCCTGTAACCAGAAAAGCTAAAACATTCCGTTTGACATGAAAGCTGACATGTTGCGTTATCATCCCAGGCCAGAAGCTGAGACTTCACGAAAAGCCCTCTGCAACTCCTGAAGTCGGAGATGGCAGCTCTGGCATCAGGCTCTCCGATTACCTATGTTGTAATTTGCAATCCAGTACAAAAGCCCTTGTCCAAGCCACGCTCGTGAGCCACAGAGTACACCTCTCCCACCCCCGGCCGTCGCGTGCGAGGACACGCTAGGCCTGCCCCATGTCCTGGACGGCCTGTAGCGGTGCTAGGCTTGGAGGCCACACTCCTTAGCCTGCACGCGGCAGGGCAGCCACAGCGGTGCCATGTTGCCAGGCGCAACATCCCGCTGACCTCAAGACGGGAGAAACTAAGCCCAGGAATGGCCAGGCCTGCCTGACCGCAGGGACCAGGAGTGGGGCCTGGTCCTATTCGCAGGGCCTAGACTCTGGGCGGCCCCGCAGCGCCCGTGCCCGGCGTGGGCTGGGCTCTGCCCGCCCC